GCTTCAACAGTGTTTTCCCTTAGTGAATATCAAAGTTAGCATGTACCCAAACAGCAGCCATTGAGCACCAGGTGGTCATTGTTGTGTGTTCCTTTGGTGGTAGTGGTGGGGACAGGTTGGGGTTCCTGTCTGTCTTCTCTCCCTCACTTGTTACCCTAGGTCCGTGATATTCATGCAAAGTGAACACTTTCTTTAAAATAAATTGGCAGATTTTAATAGTAAAGAAAAATGAAGTCCATTGTGGCACATTTAAATACTGGACATTTCATACAAACGTGAAGCTTCCTATTCAGGCCTTGTGACAACTTTTAGAGTGAGAATTGTGTATCAATCTAGTACACTTTATGGTTCCCAAACTTCGTAATATTGTATTGTGATTTATATAGCTTCTCTATTATGTATCCCACCTTGCTCACTTAGTTAATGTATAATTTGCATCCCTTCAGAATATACGAATTTTTGATAAAGGAAAAAAAAAGAAGCAAGCACAGTGACCTACCTTTTGACTTTATGAAGATGAAAGCATTTGTGTTTAGAAATAATTTGAGGACAAAAGTAAAAAATTTTAAGGCGTTCACACTTTACTATCTATAACTAATCTTAAGCATTGCTAAATGAAGTCTTCTTGTTAGAATTGTTGGAGGGAACTAGCAGTTTCCTATCTCACTTGCTAATTTTTCTCACTTTCCTCATCTGTTTGCATCTTTTCTCCTTCACTTCCATGAAACCGAGATTGGTTTGTAGGAATTCTGCAAATGATTCATTATTTTAAGATTAGATTTACCAGTGGTATACCATAGCCTGTGTTTTCAAAATATATTTGGTTACTTGGTGATTTCTTTTGTTTGATTTAGGTTATAGAAATGTAAAGATAAAACCAACTGGTGCCTTTAAGGAAAATATTCTTTCAATGGGAATTATTTTGCCGTATGATTTATCCTTATGACTGAAGACACCTGATACATTTCTTAGCTTTTTGCTGTCCATATTATATAATTTATATCTGTGATGGGAAAAGGGACTTTTTAATTTCACAGCAGAGTGATGGGAAAGAAATGTCAGGCTTTTTTTGTTTTAAAGGATTTTAAAAAAATTCTAGATCTGTGTATTTTGGGATAGAGCTAGAATCCAATTTAACTTTAACTCAGCTGAGCCTTGTCTGAAGGAATGGTGTCTTGATTTCAGTAAACAGGGTTTATACAACTTGCTTGGTTTATTGGTAGTATCTTACCAATATGTAGTTCTTTACCTTGAAGACTTGCCAAATAATATTAGCTTTTTTCTTATAAAAGATGATGCAGTAATTGTCAGACCCACTGTAGAATAGATTCCTTTCCTGTCCTGTGGTCTACAGTCTAAGGGCCAAGGGCTTTTGTGTGGAAACATACCCACAGTCCATAGCCAGGTGGCATTGCAAACAGGTAAGGTGAAAATAAACAGGAGTTATCAGATCATGTCACTAGAACTGTTAAACTGAGAAAGTAGTTTTACTTAAAGAAGAAATTCTAATCCAGAGATCTTTACCCATGTTTGGAGAAGAAATTATTATTTGGAGTTATTCTACTCCAGAGATAATTTACTCATTAGGTTATGAGTTTTTTAGTCACAGTCATGTATTAGTCTGACCACAGTTTCTAATATCCCACGGATTCTCAGAAGCTTGTTTTCTGAGATTTTGTGTGCTTAAGAGATATTAACATGTTATTTCTCTTTATGATGTTTTTTATTTGTTCATTTAATTTTGGTGCTGGGATAGATCCCAGGGCCTTGAGCATTCTAAGCATGCATTCTGTCACTAAGCCATACACTTAACTTCTGATGTTTATTAAATAATTCTGGTTTTGATATCTTTTTCAAAATTTTAAATGTACATACTATGTTGGAGGTAAATGAAATAAAAGAAAACAGAAATATACGTACCTGAAGAATAAAGATGTTATTTGGAGTTAAATTTCTTTTTTCTTCTTAGAACTGGATGATTTGGGCTTTGCTTTTTCTGTGTGTGTAAAACATGAGAACATGAATTAGACCATAGTGGAAATAGTTTGGCAGACACACTGACCTTCTTCATCTTACTAGGCTGGTGTTGTCCAGTGTTAGAATCTCTTCAGCAGTGCGACTCTGGTGATACAGGGGAAAGACACTCCCAACCTGAAGTATATCTGGGATGAGTTCAGGTTCTTCAAAACCGAAGAATAAATTTTAGGAGCAACAGAAGTTAAGAGCAGAATATATTTACTAGGGGAAAGAAAGCTTCTGTTCGAGAGAGGGACAAAAGGGGACCCGAGCAGGTTGCCAAGGAACGTGTCTTCTCTAGGGATTTTTATAGCACACATTCATAACACAAGGCAGGTCCAAAGTGGGAAACATGGGAACTCGCTAGGTGAGCTTGAGGTGGGACAAAACTATGGTCAACCAATATGATTAGCAGCATATTACTTAGGTAAAATTGATTACATCAGGATCAAATGGGGAATTGAGTCACATAGTAAGCAGGCATGAATACAGAACAGGGGCTTTTCCTGTAGAGGGTTGGATTAGTGACTCTTCTTGGCTTTTTCAAGGTGATTGATACCTATTTAGAATATAACAATCCCTAGGGAAATGTGGATGAATTTTTTTCATCTTTTGTCTTGAGTCTGGCCCACAGTTGGAGTGCCTGTCTCTCCCACAGTTGCAGGGTATCTTGTCTTCCATTCTGGCTCCTTCAGAGCCTAGCCCTGTCTGACTGAGTATAATATTTCTGTCTCAGCTGCCTACAACACTAGAACATGGAGAAGAGTTGGATTTATTCTGTCAATCAGTATTGAACTCCTGTGTGTTTGCTATATTCTTGGTGTATAAGGAAAACAGGCAATAAAATTATTCTGCTAACCTTGTGGAGATAAAGTGTAAGATAAACAGTAGACAAATAAACATATATGTCATTTAGCAATAAGGTGTCTGATGAAAGTGAGCCAGAGAGAGACAATAAGAGGCACATGGAGTTGGGACTTACTATTTTAGATGAGGTGGTCTCAGGGAGGTCCCTGTCCATCTGCATTTACCTAATTCCACACATTAGGTTCATTTGGCTTAGATTTCAATTTTGTCCTGCCTTTGAAATGTCATTCTGGAAATGGAAATGATTTAACCTTGTTAGTCATTTGCTTTTTTAATGTTACTACGTTGTAGATTATTTCCTTTGAGCAAATGTTAATGGAGAATTTGAAACAGTGAATGTCTGGTCACAGGAAGGGATTAGATAGAAGGGATCCCAATAGATAGAGTTATTCTTTTGGTGGAACTGGGGATTGAACTCAGGCCTGAGCCATCTCCCTAGCCCCGATAGAGTTATTCTCTGCATCAGAGTTTAGTCTGCTCTGTGCCCTAGGATGCCCCATACTGACACTCCTTGTACTCCATTGTGGCTGCCCAGTGGCCTCTTCAACCCTTTTAGTGTATTTTTACTCAAGGGCAGAGGGCTTTTACTTGTGGGAATGCTAATTGCAGAAAGGGAACCCTTTACAGTACCTTCTTCTTGGCTCTTCAGGAGAAATGCACTGTACAATTAAGGTTTGTTTATTATTCTTCCTGTTTGGCTTATTTTGCTTCCTGTTTGGCTAATTTTGCTTTGTTTCTTGCCACATTGATAACGGGGAATGAAACTCCCAATCTGCTAGATGTCTGATATGCTGAGTTTGTGTTCTCTAAAATTGAGGAATGCATTCTAGGAACAACAGAGGTTAAGAGTAGGAAGAGTTTATTGAGAGAAAGCTTCTGAGAGGGACAGAAGGGGTCTGGAAAGTGGGTTGTCTGCCAGTCTTGCTTGTCAAGGGTGTTTATTGAGTAAAGTGTTGATGGTGAAGCAGGCTTAAGGTGGGACAGAACTATAATCCATAAGATTACAAGTACAGTTGCTTAGGTAATATTGATCCAAGGGCAAATCATAGGATAAGTGTGAGGTGGGACAAAACTAGAGTCAGTCAATACGTTGGTACACAACAAGTATAGTCACTAGGGTAATATTGATTAAATGAGGGTCAAATGGGGAAGCAAGTCAAGTAGCAAGCTCACATGGGCAGACAAGGCCTTTCCTGGAAGGGCTGGGTTAAGGAGGTTTGATCGTCCACCCCAAGGTGATTGATGCCTACTCGGAATATCAGTCACTGCTGCTCATCCTTAGGGGAAGCATATGGGTGAGTAGTTGCTTTTCTCTTGAAGCCTGGCCTTCAGTGAATGCACCTCCATCCACAGTTATTTCCTGCATTGACCTCTCCAGAGCCTCACCCTGTCTGACTGCCTATAATATTTCTACCTGACTTAGCTATCCATAATAACACTGTTTTCATTATTTTTAATATAGAGCCTAAATGTGTCTGTAGGGGGATCTTTGCCTATTTATAGGAGCTGACTCAAAACACTAAATCGTTTTTTTTTTTTTTTTTTTTTTTTTTTGGTGGAACCGGGGATTGAACTCAGGCCCTTGCGCTTGCCAGGGAAGTGCTTATTCTACTGAGCCATCTCCTGGCCCCAAGAAGAAAGACACTAAATCATTCTAAATGAGGAGGTTTTTTTCCTTGCTTTCCTGCCTGCCACTTTAATAGGGTTTTAGAAACTCTCCCTGCTATCCTACCATCAGCAGGGCCTGCGCCACACTGAACTGCATGCGCAGCACTGCACAGCTAACCCTGCAGTGCTTATGAAAAAGCTTGCTCCAAATTTAGTTCTGTTGCCTTGCCAGGCTTTGGCAGTGATGGGGAGGGTGGAAATTTGTAGTTCCTGCTGGATTCTTGGGCATTGTCTCTTGATTAAGAAGTATCAGAATCAAGGTTGCAAAGAGATATTTAAAATCATCTGTGTTGTGTGTGTGGTTTATATATAGACACATAGGGGACATACAGATACTAAATTCTTTGATGATATTCTTTCTTTTGCTTGGTAGCCAAAGCATGTTGACTTTACATTGATGAATAATTTTGGGTTTGAGATGAGAAAAACAGCAATACTAATTTGCAGCGATGCAGCTGCTTAGAAATGAGCAAAATGTGTCTGGTGTAAGTATCTTTTTTCTTCATCATAAGCAAAATGATTGAATGTGAGAGTGAACCTAAATTGCTAATTGTAATGGAGAAAATGTTCTTTTTTTCCTTCAGCTTTTGCTTTGATGTCTGAAGATATAAAGAAAGAAGTCAAGAGAACCAAGGTACTAATTCTAATGACCTAATTCCCCCTCTCCTCTGCACCTTTTGAGATTCTTTTATCTCTAACAGGAACTGTAAGGATTCCATCCTTCTGCAGCTAGCGTGTTTCCTTTTTTTATTACATGAATTGATTTATGTTGCTCAACATAGATTAGGAAGCCCTAAGAGCAACCAGTAGACTTGCTTACAACATAGTTTAGTATCTTTAATAATTACCTCTAGGGCTGGGGAGATAGCTCAGTAGAATAAGCGCTTGCCTGGCAAGCACAGGGTCCTGAGTTCAAGACCCAGTACTACCAACCCCCCCCAAAAAAAAACAAAACTATAGTAGTTAAAATTGATTCCCTAGATTTCAGAGTCATTTTAAGTGTAAGAATAAAGGTGTTCTGACATAGAGATAGACATTTCAAAGTCTTGCTTGGGTACCATACCTGTTTCCATTCTTACCAGATCCTAACCTTGGGCTTAATTTTCCCCATCCGTGAAATGATGTTGCTCTGTCACAGCAATTTCAAGAACCTGATTACTGTCTTCTTGAAGGTGGCACCTTGTGGGAAGGTATGCTGGGGACCTCAAGTGATGACCCTGTCAGATTCCTTGTTTGTACTGAACTAGAAACTAGAGCTGAGGGACCAGAGCAGCGTATCCCCAGATCTCAGGCCTGCTTCATTTTGACTTTTGCTTATGTTCAAAACTTTCTCTAAATTTTTACCATTTGGGCCTTGCATGGGATCGGTTTAACCCATAAAAGAGAAAAAAAATACTATAAAATGACTTGCTTTTGTCATATTAGTTAAGGCTCTGTTGAATCTTTTTACTTCACAATTGGTATAAAAGCATTTATTAATAGGGTGTATCTTTTATCAGTGGAATGTTATCTGTTCTTACTGTACTAGGGGATTTCTCCACAGGGGAAATGATAAAAATAATATGAGTTGAAAACCTTTTATGACTAATAAAGCGTTTTCACACATTTCATTTGATTCAGTCGTCTCAATACTGCTGTTGTTGCTAGACAAGGCAGATATTCCCAGTTACAGCAGAGAAAGTGTAGCCTTATAGAACATAGAAGGTTTTACTGAGGTCACAAATTTTCTGAATCCTTTGGTTTTAATTAATTTTCACCCTGTCCTATTTTATTTGCTACTGTCCAATTGTCATAACTATAGTATATTATATTTTGTGTTTGGTAATTATGAGGATTATTTGTAATAAAGTTAAGGTGCTTCCTAAGGGTTATTAACAAATATTAATTTTTTGTTTAATGAATTATATTAATGAATGACATAGATAAGGTAAGTCCTGTGTGTCATTGTCATTTTCCATGCAAAGGTTTTAATGCACTTGAAGGACATTAACTTAGATATTACTGTACTTGAAAGACATTTGTATGACCCACAATCTAAGTAGTTGTCAGTCCTGTGAGGAGAGAAAGTGATACCTTGTTTGCTGTACAGTCAGTGTAGCTGAGGCAGGGAGGTGACAAGAATCAGTTTGTTTAAAACTGAAAGTTGAACTGGAGATAGAATTTGAGGCTCTAAACAATGACCATATTGATTTTCAGTTCCTCGCTTGGGCAGAACCGACCCGGACCTGCCCTGTGGTTGCTATCCCAAGGTAGCGTCTCCCTCACCTCATGTTTGCCGTACTGAAATAGTCTATGCAAGGCTTCTGTCTGGTGCAGATAAATCCTGGCCAGGGTTGGGTTCCTGCCCCGAATAGTGTGCCAGTGCACTGGCTGGCATTGAGTTTGGCTACCTATCAAACTCCTGAGTGCTGCCTATTTCCTGATGGCTGTAGCCTTTACCATGCGCTCGTGTCAGACACTGTCCGGGATTCTGACCTATGAGCAGCTTCAGGGAGGCCTGCTCCTCTAGTGCCGTACTGCAGGCCATAGTGCTGCCTCATGCACCTGTTGTCAGACCGCACTGTTGCCTGGGCCTATCTCCTGTGGTGGCATGTGTTCTTGCATCCTTTGTGACAGAGTTAAAGCTGGATAGTTGAATTACAAAGCCATAGTTCATTATGTTCATCTTTTTCCCACTCTAATTGTGGGACTTAGTGATCTCCAGTGCTCAGTTTCTCATCTGTAGAATAGAGTAATAAGACCTACCCCTGGGCTGGAGAGATGGCTCAGTGGAATAAGCACCTCCCTGGCAAGCGCAAGGACCTGAGTTCAATCCCCGGTTCTGGGAAGAAAAAAAAAAAGATCTACCCCAAAGGGCTATTTTAAAGATTCAGTGTGTGTATATGTGTTTATAATTTAGAACAGTACCGGGTCCTAATCAGTTGTTTATCTAATAATAAGAAATGTCTTAGACATTTCAGCAGGTTACATAAATCATCTGCTCTATCTAAACAAGTCAAGATGAAAGACTTCACTATTTTTGTCAGTTAAATTCCTTTTTTAGTGGTAGGTCGCTGCATAGAAGTGGTTAATGGTAATGGCAAGAAGAATAAGGGCCAATAATTATTTTGCTTCGGCTTTGTATACACATAGAATTCTGCATCTTATTGTGTGATAACAAAGCCTTGTATTATGGGTTGTGCAATTAGAATTTCTTTTTTACAAGTGAGAAGCAGAAGTTTGAGTTAGTAAGTAGAGGACGCAGAATTAGAACGCAGGGCCAGCTTGCAACTCCATGCCCTGATGAGAACACAGCTGGATGAATTTATTCAAACTGTAGAGGGGTCCTAGTGATGTCTGGGTAGACAATGACATTTATCTGTCTTGTTAAAGATCTCACAACAAACTCTTTTGAGCATGTTGAATATTCATTTCATGAAAAACTTACAAATAAAGCATTACGTATTCAGATCATAAGTGTTCACGTCTGTCGTGGCTTAAACAAAACAAACGCACGTAAAAGAGTGACTTAGATATGTCTTTCTGGCTGGGGTAGTAGCTCTCTGTGGGGTAAACGCATTAGTAACACGTCTTTTTCCTATCTGCGTAGCAGTTCAGTTGACTTACACAACCTTGACAGTGAGCACATTTTGATTAATATTGATAGTCAGTGTAAGAAATGTGGCAGCAGAGATAATAAAACAAACTGTGTGTTTCTTCTTAGGGAGAACTAAACCTATTCACAGGGGAAGCTGAAGACGGAATTATAAATGTTCTGTCAATTTGTTCATTTAGTCTAATTTTCTTTTCCAAGGGGGAAATTACTGAAGACTATTCTGGTTCTGTTTCAGTTCACCTAATTCATCTGTTCCTTGGATATTTATTTTTACAGTTTATAAATTGAGTCATTTGAAATAGCTAGTCATTTCCTGGCTATTGTGTTGGCCAATCTGAGCTACAGTGCTTAATAATAAATAGGTATGTAATTTTGGTTGCTTTTCTTTTATTTCACAAAGATATCTGAAAGAAAGTCCAGCTACTCTTCAGCATATTACAATTGCTAAAACCACAGAGATCCAGCTACTTTTCACTTTTTGTTATAGATGTTACTTTTAGTTTATTCTCGAAATATTAACATCTGAAGCACACCTCCTGGGAGGCTGGGTGCACATTAGCACTGTGGTGTAGAGAAGTGGCATCGCAAAGGACTGGAGGACTTTAATCCTGATTTTGTGGTTGGTGACTAGAGTGCCCTGGGAAACTCCTTTATCTTTCTGAGATAAAGCATTGCCTTCCTTTTAAAGGGGGGAGCATATTGGTTTAACCATCTCCAGTGCTGTTTCTGATGTAAATTTTCCCACTGGCCTTCTCTAGAGCAGAGCCTGTGGGCTCTCCAGGAGCAGGCCACATGGACAGGGGACAGGCAGTAAGCTGATGGTGGGAAATCCTTCGTGCTGTGCCCAGCACTCCTGCTCCAAGTGAGCGCAGGTGGTCTCCAAGTGCAGTGTGGCAGTTGTGGCATAGGTGGTAGGAGTCCACACCCACTACCTCATGATGCTATTGTGGCTTTGGCTCAGCACACTAAGCAAGGGTTAGGCTTTCTAGTCTTTTTTTCAATGAGTTCTTCTAAAAGTTACATTTCAGCAGAATTAAGCGAAGTATCGTTTGATCTTGCAAGCCAACAAGTCAGCATCTTAACTGTGGATCCCTCTGTGCTCAGTTGAGCTCTCTGCTCTTAAGACAGTTTCATAAAATGCCTGTCTAGGTAGTTATTCCTCTTTGTTTAGCTCTTCTGCGCTGTCTATTGTCATGGTCCTCTTGGCACATCTCTGAGGCTGTTTTCAGCTGCTCCCCATTTTATTGGTAAAGGCTTACACTGACACTTCTCACTGCTGTCTGTGAAGAAAATTGAAGGATATTTGCCACCGTGTAATTATTGTAACTATAGCATATGGCTGTTGAAAATAGAAAAGGACAATTAGAAGCAAACTCCTTCCTAGGAGTTGGAAAGGAGACTTAGCTGGAAATGGCAGGCTTCGCTTCTAAAACCTTGCACTTGCCAGAAAATTTTTGAGACTTCTTGAATTACACAAGATCAGAATCTGCCCGGCTCCAGATTGCTGCCTGAGGAGCTCGCCAGCTGTGAGGTACCCACTCTGTGCCCGTGTTCCAGTGACTGCGTGTGCTGCTGTGACAGGATACCCGAGGCTGGGTCATTTATAATTTATGAGATTTATTGTAGTTTTGGAGTCTGGAAGGTCCAAAGTGGAGAGACCAGCACCTGCCCTGGTGATCTGGTCACCTCTTAGAGACCCCAGCTCTAAGCACTTTCACATACGGATGAAGGTTTCAACACATGTTTTTTTTTTGGGAGGCACCTGCCAACCATCATTGACAGACCTCTTCTGAGCCCCTGAGCAGTTCTTGGGGCCATTTTCCTGGAAGGATAAACACAGTGCTAACATTCTTTTTAAGCTTTTTTTTTTTAATAATTATATTAGTATATGTTTGTAATACATAATAGTTACATTTGTTTGGGAGTTAGCAGTACTTATATTGAAGTATATCTTGATCACTTTGATCCCCTTACCCTCACCCCTAACATCTCTGCTCCCCTGGCATCTCTGTTTCTTAACATCTCCTTTATTCATGTATAGTTTATGATTTGTACATAATAGAAAATTATGTGATATTCTACTGTTGGTTTTTGGTTGGTTGGTTGAGACAGGGCCTCACTCTGTAGTCCAGGCTGGCATTGGACTCACTTTATAGACCAGGCTGGCCTTGAACTCTGGGCAATCTTTCATGAGTGCTGGGATTACAGGTGTGTGCCGCCATGCCTGGCTGATACTCTACTTTTTTTGTCTGACTTATTTTACTTAATGTTGTGGTCTGAAGGTATATCTATTTTCCTACAAATGACTCAAGTTTATCCTTGGCAAAGTCATATTCCACTGTGTATAAACATCACATTTTCTTTATCTTTTTAACTGTTAATAGACACGTAGGCTGCTTAACAAGAGTTAGCTATTATGAGTTGCGCAGCTGTAACATGGATGTGCATGTGTCACTGTTATGTCTTTAACTCTTTCAGGGAAGAGATACCTGGAAAGGGGAATGCTGAGTCAAATAGAATTTCTGGTTCTAGAGGTTTGAGGAGTAATTTCTTCAGGAAATCATTTCTAAGCATCCATCTTCAAGTCGCCCTAAGTGTCAGTGCATATTGTGCCTGTTTATTCACTGTGTTGCTAGCTTTGTTATGTGATACGATTTTCTTTTTTCTTTTTCATTTCCAATGCAGGATTTGGAGAAAAGTGGTATACCCAGAAAAAATGACATAAGTAAGTAATGATCTTTTAACTGAAGAATGTGTATTCATGTGTATTTGTTGTAAATTGTGTTTCAGTGAAGTGCATTTTTCTTTCTGGTTTTATTTATGGAGAACATTCACCTGTCCAAATTCTCCATGTTTGGGCTAGCCTACCATTTACCATGAAGATGTGGGGAAACCAGTTTGCAGGCCAGAATATTAGCATGTGGTGCATTAGCTGCTAAGGTGCTGGATTTAATTCCCTCAGCCACCATTCACTGAGGGTATAGTACTGTGCTGGGTAGACGCTGTAGGGGATAGAGATGGATGCGACACAGTGCTTGTGATTGTGGGCAGAATGAATCCAATCTTGGCCTGTACAACTAAATACCAGAGGCTGAGTACTTACAAAGAAAAAAGGTTTATTTGGCTCTAAAATCAAGAGGCCTCATTGTTCCTTCACTGGCCATGTCGCACCGAGGCTGAGGACATTGTGGTTGGAGTGTGTGTGAGAAGATGAGATCACATGGTGAAGTGGGAAGCTCAGGCTCACTGGTTAGAAAAGTTGGCTATAGAGGGAATTGAACCAGGGACCTGTGAGAACCACGTGACTCTTCCGTGGACATTGCTGTCAGTGATCCAAACCCTGCCCACTTGGCCTACCTCTGAAAGGCCCCACCACTCCCCAGCACACACTGAGGACTAAGCCTCTAACACTCGAACCTTTTTAGGGACACTCAGATGACATCTAGACACTGAGCGGGAGCAAAGGACAAACTGCTCTTTCTAGAGCTGGCTCCCCACCTCTGACCTGTAGACACCTACCCACCCTTCAGGAGTCCTCTAAGCAATCTGATGCATCAGACTCACCCCAAGGCCCAGTGCTCTTCCTCCTTTGAAACACGGCCTCTGTTGCAGCCCGTGTGGATGCTTATTTGTGCTCCTTTTCAAGCACATCTCTCACGTACACAGCCCGCATTGTGGGTTCATCCCTCTCTGTGCCACTGGAAGCGTGTCCCACTGTGTGGATGGAGAGTTAGTGCCATACTACCATGGGCAGGATTGTGTGCTTTGTCACTGGCCTTCGTCCCAGGGTAGGCTACAGAGACCTGGATCATGAGTATTGGATGAAGGGCACACTTCCTTTCTTGGCTTTTCCCCCTTGAGCTTAGATTCTGAGATTGTAGAGAAGTGCAGGAGTGCAGCCCTACCCTGCCATGCAGGACCTGTGGCGGGCAGCTGCATCTGGAGCCACCAGCTCTGAGAACAGCTGTATTTAAGGGGCACATCTGTTCATTGCCTTTTGTTTTCTCAGTTACAGCACCCTGTATGGTTCAGCCACTCCTTTCCTTGGAGTTTTCTCTTGGCTGCCAATCGTGGTGGCTTTAGGCATTTGTTTGAATGTTAGTTTTATGGCAGCTGCTTGATCTTCTCCTAGTACATCGTTATCAAACAAGTTAATGCACCGAGTCCAGAACATGAGCTTGATACTAGCCAGGCAAAGTTACCTTGCACAAGTACATTTATTTTGCAAATAACAAGTCATAGTGATGCTTAATTTGGTATCAGTTCATGTGAAAAAAAAAAAATCCAGAGCTGCTTTGTCCTGGTCTTTGTATGCATCTCCAGGACCAGGAGGCTGCTGAAGAGCTGATACAGTCACAGCACAGCGTCTTTGACAGTAAAGTCAGAGTCACTTAACCACAGGCTTACAGTGCTTGGCGATGGACCACAGTCTCCACATGCAGATCAAACTCCGTTTCTCTTTCAGCTCATTGCCTAACTGATAGATTCACTAGAGTCTAAGAAGTCTCACCAAGGCAGACAGATGGGGTGGCTTTTCTTACGTGGGTGTCTGGATGTGTATTTATCTTTTGGTTTTAAATCAGAAGGTTGCCCAATTACTCACCTTCTATCAGAAGAACCTGCATTGATTTCTCATCAGAAAAATGCCAGCATAGTCCTTCTACCAAGTCCCTTTCTGATCAGTAGCATTAGCATTTAGTAAATTCCTTGGCCTCTTGTGGGGCCTTTTGTTTTTTTCACCTCCAGAGAGAAATAGTTTTCCTTTCAGCCATCCTTTTCATTCTCCTCAGTGTTCTCTTTTTTTTTTTTTTTTTTTTTTTCTGGAGTGTTCTCTGCAGCCCGCTGTTGATTTTAGCATTGAGTCGGCCCTGTCTGCATCTGGGTCTTATTTCCTTATCTTCCACTCCAGCCTGCTGCACTGATCCTCACTGTCAGACATTCAGTGTGTGACTGCTGTGCTGTACATTCCTGGGGGAGAAACAATGATGATCCATCTGGAGGTGTAGCGGTGCTTGCGAACGGCGAGTGGAGTGAGCTTAGAGAAGTACAACCAAGATGCAGGAAATTGAGATTGCCTTGCTTAGCTCAGTCAGCTGGGCAGTGGGAGCTTGAGTTGGATGGCTCGGGGGCATTAACAGAAGAGGTTGTGCAGATGAGCTCTGGGATCTAGACTTGGCCAGAGAGATTGAGCTGAGTATGTGTCAGACAGTGTATCTTGGTGCTGATGTGAGGATCAGCAGGGATGTGATCGTGCAGGCTCCTTTCAGAATTGTGCTGTACTAACCTGGTTCTTTTCTGATTGCATCAGGACGGAGATACATGTTGTCATCTGTACAGGTCACCATTGTCACATGTTCCTTTCTCCTTTAGCCTTATCCCTGATAATTCTCTTACACATATTCTATTCCGTAGCCAGACCTAACTTACTATTTTCCAGGTCCTGAATGTGGCTTTCTGTCCCAAGCATTCACTGCTCCCTATACACGAAAGGTGTTTCCACCCTTTTTTGTCTGTCCCTAGAACCTAGTGTTCTCATCTCTTCCTCTGGGAAGGTCTTGCTTTCTGAGCCTCATTTGGATCCTGAAGCTCTTCCTTGTGTTGAAAGCAGTTCATCTTCAATCCAAGTCTCTTAGCATGGTATATAAATCCTTTATGATCAGATCAGGCTGAGTCTGCCTCTCTCCCTAACTTTGCGGCCCATAGTGTGCCCCAGCCTTGTCTAAGTCACTGAGTGCTCGGGAATGCTGCAGAGGTAAGACGAGTATAGCTTTGCCATCACCCTAATTCTTCCTCTACTATTAGTCTGCTCCCCTCTACACGTGAGTCTGCAGAAAACCTCAACTGTTTAAAGAAAACTTTGGAAATCTTCCCAGAAGCTCTCCTCGAGCTGGTCCTACCTTCTTTAGTACTCTGAGCTTGGCTCTGAGTTCCCTCTACTTGTGTTACTGTTATGGTTGATACATTGTGTCACCTTGAGAACTCTAGAAGCTATAGAGGACATGCTCTTACTGCTCTAGGATGCGCATATTGCCATCTTTAAATAAGGTGCTCAGAGCGTAAGATAATTTTGCAAATGATATTAACACAAATCTCTCTTTTCAATGAACTAAGGGAAATTAGTAATATAACTATCATATATATATAAATTATATATATAAGTCATATATATAAATTATATATATAAGTTATATATATAAATATATATATATATATAAAATTTTTTCTTTTCCATTCCTTTTCTCCTTTACCCCATCCCAATTTCTCTTTCCTTTTGAACAGTTCTTCTCATTTTATCATTTCTGTTCTACATTTTGGATCTTATTTACTCAGTCAGTTTCTTGCACTAGGGAAACATCAAATGGAATTTATATAATATTTTAAGAAATTTTCATAATGATTTATTAGTTTACATTCCCACTAGCAATATCGGTGGGTTCCTTTTATTACCACTGCCATGCCAGTATTTGTTATTATTTGAATTCTTGATGACTATCGTTCTTTCTGGAGTAAGGTAAAACTTCAGTGTTGTTCTGAGTTTCTGTAATGGCCCGCCAAGAACATTTATTGAAGTATTTATTGGCTATTTGCATTCCCCCTTCAGAGAAGTGTCCCTGTACATTTCAGTTGTTTGTATTTGATTGGATCATTTATTTTAGGGGATCTCCTTTTTGACACTCTTTACATATTCCAAATATTAGTCCTCGGTCTGTGGTACAGCTGGAAAAAATATTTTCCCATTCTGTAGGTTGTTTCTTCATTTTGTTGATTATTTCATTCGCTATGTAGAAGCCTTTTAATTTGATCTAATCTCATTTGTTGACTCTTGCAGTTATTTCTTGGGCAGTGGAATTCTGTTTAGAACATCCTTGCCGCCACCTACAACCTCAAGAGTTTAACCTGTTTTATTTTTCAGTGGTATGTTTCTGCTTTAATATTTAGATCTTTGATTCATTTTTATTTTAGATTGATCCATAGTGAGAGATACAGGTCCAGCTTCAGTTTTCTGCGTGTGGATATCCAGTTAGCCCTGCATGCCAGCTAAGCACATTAGCTTTCCTCTAACATACTTCCTTGTTCCCCATGCCAAAAATCAAATACAGTGATCCCTCACTTATCACAGAGGCTATGTTCTAGATGCCCCCATGATAATGAAAATCAGCAATGTAGTGACAATGTATTTATTTTAGTATTTGTATATATTTTAAGGTTTTATAAACCCTTCCCACACTCATAGGGTTGGCTTTGTCATCATGAAATTCTTTAGTTGCTCTTTGTCATGGAAATATTTCACTTCTTCCTTGAACTTGAAAGATCGAGTTTTGCAGGGTGTAGTAGTCTGGGCTGGAATTTGTTTTCATAGAGGACTTGAAGTACTCTGCTCCATGCTCTTCTTGCCTTCATGGTTTGTGAAGAGAAGTCAGCCATAATTCTGATGGGTTTTCCTTTGAATGTGATCTGCTTCTTTTCTCTAGCGGCTTTCAGTATATTATTCTTGTGCTAAATTTCTGGGATCTTGACTATTATTTATCTCAGTGTGTTTTTAATTGGGTTGAGGTTACTTGGCATTCTGTATGCTTCAGTTAGCTGAATATCAGATTGTTTCCTCATATTTGGGTAGTTTTCTGCTGTTACTTCTGCCCATATTTTTTAATGTCCTTTGTATTGACTCCTTCTTTCTCATTGATGCCTATTAGTCTCACCTTGTTCATCTTTGCATCATCTTGC